AGGCGGGTCTCGAACCCGCGGGCTCAGGCAATCCACTCACCTCAGTCTCCCAAAGGCGCGGGATTACAGGCTGAGCCACCGAGCCCAGTTTTTTTATTTATTGTAGAGACGAGGTCTCACCAAGTTGCCCAAGTGGGTCTCCAACCCGTGGGTTCAAGCAATCCACTTGCCTCGGCCTCCCAAAGTGCTGGTATTATAGGCTGAGTCACCAAGCCTGGCTGCCTCTTCTTTTTTATAAAACAGTGTAATTCGGCTGGGTATGGTAGCTCACATCTGTAATCTTAGTACTTTGGGAGGCCAAGGTACGTGAGAGAATTGCTTGAGCCCAAGAGTTTGAGAGCAGACTAAACAACATAATAAGACATTGTCTCTACACAAAAATTAAAAAATTAGCTACGCATGGTAGCACACACCTATAGCCTGGCTACCCAAGAGGCTGAGGTGGAAGGATTCCCTGAGATCAGGAGGTTGAGACTGTAGCAAGCCATGATCATGCCACTACACTCCAGCCTGGGCAACAGGGAGACCCCAGCTCAAAACAAAACCAAAAAAAAACCTGTGTTATTTATCAGAGTCCCATTATCTTTATTTGTAAACTAGGACTGATAGGTCTCTCAAAGAGTTGAGGTAAGGATTAAATGAGATGAAGCACCTGGCACGTATGCTGAATACCTGTGAATACCTGTGGATTTCTTTTTATCATCTAGTCTCACTGAAGCCTTGACTTCCTGGGCTCGGATAATCCTTCTGCCTCAGTTTCCCTAATAGCTGAGACCACAGGTGCATGCCACCACACCTGACTAATTTCTTTAAAATTTTTTTGTCAAGGCGAGGTCTGGCTATGTTGTCCAGGCTGGTCTTCTTGAACTCCTGGGCTCAAGCAATTACCTCACCTTGGCCTCCCAAAGTACTGGAAATGCAGGTGTGAGCCACCAAACCAGGCTGGCACAAACATTTACATATTGACAGATAACTTCTTTTGATGCTGTTGACCTTTTAGCAGTTATGGCTTAATATTCCTTGTCAGTTCTCAATCCTGATGGGAAATTTTGAATTTTTCTTTGTCATTCATTTTACTCATCCATTGTGCATGTTAGTTTCTCTGAGCAATACATACATGACTCAAATATGTATTTAGCCCATACTTGTTTAGGAAGATGTATACCCGATTATCACATATGGTAGAAAGTTAGAAGGAAACACACAAGGAATTCAGAAAAAAAAATTTTTTTCTAATAGTAGGAATCTGGGAAGGTTTTCTTGAGGAAGTGGTGCTTGAGTCAGCCTCAGATCATCTGACGTGCACATGAAATTGTATCAGAGAGCAGAGTGTCATACAGGTGGGAAGAAAGAGTCTTGACTGAGATTCAATTTGGCTGAACAAGAGAAGACTAGACTGGAGTGGGGAGAGACACACAAAAGTTGAGAGTAAACCCAGATTGTGTGGACTTTAAAACTCTAGCTGTGGAAAACATTTCCTCAAAAAATTAAGCCAGAATTACCATATGATCTAGCAATTTCACTGCTGAGTAGATACTCAGAAGAACTGAAAGCAGGAACGCATATTTCTACATCAGTGTTCATAGTAACATATTCACAATTACTAAAGGTAGAAACAACCCAAATGTCAATGAATAGATAAATAAAATGTGGTTTTTACATACAATGGAATATCATTCAGCCTTAAAAAGTAAGGACATTCTGATACATAGAACAATATGGATGAACCTGAAAAATGGTATGCTATATGAAATAAGCCAGACATAAAAAGACAAATATCGTTTGATTTCACTTATATGAGGTTCCAGGAGTGGTCATATTTATAGAGACAGAAAGTAGAAAGGTGGTTTCCAAGGACTGGGGGAAGAAGGAATGGGGAATTAATGTTTAATGGATATGGAGTCTCAGTCTGGAATTATGAAAACGTTTTGGAGATAGATCATGTTGATAGTTGTACAGTGAGAATACACTTAATGCTACTGAATGTACACTTAATGGTTACAATGGTAAGGTTTGTATTTTAACTAAAATAACTCAAAAAAGCCCTAAAAACTCTATGCCAAAGAACTTGAATTTTATTTTATTTTTAAATTTCAAAGTTTTTTTAAATTTAATTTTTTTTTTTTGAGTTGAAGTCACACTCTGTCACCCAGGCTGGAGTGCAGTGGCATACTCATGGCCACTGCAGCCTTGACCTGTTAGACTCAGGTGATCCTTTTGCCTCAGCCTTCAAAGCAGCTAGAATTACAGGCACATGACACCACACCCAGCTAATTTTTTGACTTATTGTAGAGAAGAGGTCTCACCAAGTTGCCTAGGCTGGTCTTGAATCAGTGGGCTCAGGCAGTCCTCTCACCTCAGCTTCCCAAAGTGCTGGGATTATAGGCATGAGCCACTGCGCTCAGCCAACTTTTTAATTTTTTTTAATTAGAAATAGTATGCTATGTCACCCAGGTTGGTCTCGAACTCCTGTGCTCAAGCAATCCTCCCAACATGGCCTCTCAAAGTGTGTGAGCCACCACATCCCTCCAAGACCTTGAATTTTAAAGAATACGCATTGAATAATTGATCAAAGTTTTTGACCCAGATTTGTGTCATGAAGATTAACCCTACAGCAGAATAAAAAATAGCTTGAAGATGTAAGGAATGAGGAGGTGGGTAACCAGCCAGTTCTTTCTATTGCAGCAGTTAAGAGGTGGTATGGCCCTGATATAAAACAGCAGTAGCCAGGTTCGGTGGCTTTGGGAGGCTGAGGTGAGTGAACTGCATTAGTCCGCGGGTTCGAGACCCGCCTGGGCAACTTGGCGAGACCTCATCTCTACAATAAATCAAAAAATTACCTGGGCGTGGTAGTAGTTCCAGCTACTTGGAAGGCTGAGGCGGAAGGACTGCCGATGCCCAGCAGGTCGAGGCTGCGGTGGCTGGGAGCAGCCATTGCACTCCAGTCTGGGTGACAGAGTGAGACTCCAACTCAAAAAAAAAATAAAAATAAAAATAAAACAGCAGTAGAGGGAATTGGAATGACAGTGGATGTGAGAGAAACTGGACAACTGATTAGATGTGGGAGAAAAGTGAAAATGAAAAACAAAAGATGACTCCTAGTGTCCCAGCACGGTGGCTCATGCCTGGAATCCCAGGGCTTTGGGAGGCCAACACGGGGGGATTGCTTAAGGCCAGGAGTTCAAGAGCTGCCTGGATGACATAGCAAGACTCCATCTCCAAAAAAACAAGTTAAATAATTTAGCCAGGTGTGGTGACAGACACCTGTAGTCCTAGCTATTTAGGAGGCTGAGATGGGAAGATCGTTTGAGCCCAGGAGTTTGAGACTGCAGAGAGTCATGATTGTGCAACTATACTCTATCCGAGGTGACAAATTGAGACCGTGTCACACACACACTAAAAGGGTAGCTCCTAGGTTTTGTTCAGGAAAGTAGAAGCATTGGCTGGGAAAATGTTCAATATGCATTTCTGGTGTCAGGTGTCCAGAAGGCAACTGAAAATATGAAAATGGGGAAATGGAGCTCAGGAAAATCAAGCCTAGAGATGAGTTATGGAGCCATCCATCCATCCCTTTGAACAAATATTTAATTGAATCTGTGCCTTTTGCCAGATATGCCAAATGATCAGTCTTTTTTTTAACAAGTGTAATCAATTTATTAAAATACTTGACTTAAGCATCAGCAATGGTGACTTCAACCTCAACTCCCGACTCAATACTGGTGTAAGTAATCTGCTTGACAATCTCAGAAGGACTGTGCAAGTCGATGAGTAGCTTGTGGATTCTCATCTGGAAGCAATCCCATGTCCTGGAACCTTCACCACAACGAGTTTTCCTGGTAGTGATTCTCAAAGTCTTGGTTGGCATGCGAACAGGTCCCTTCACCTTGAGATTCTTTTCCTTCGTGCCTCTGATCAGGTCAGTGCATACTTTCTCCAGAGATTTCCCATTGTGGCTGGTGAGGGTGATCCTAATCCAGTGGACTGCCACCTCCACGGGCGTCTTGCCGGTGTCTTTAAAAGCCATGGCTGCAGCACGGCTTCCTGACCGACTCGTTCCTCAGCGAGAGCGAACAGCGGTGAGTCAGGAGCGGGAGCGGGAGGACCACAGACTCGCAGCACCCACATCCACGTCATCTTCAAAAGGCACATATCAGTCTTTAACCTCAAAGATGTCAGTCAGATGAGCTGTTCTCTCTCTCTCTCTTTTTGTTTGAGTTGGAGTCTAACTCTGTTGCTCAGACTGGAGTGCAATGGCACGCTGCTGGGCTCAGGCAAGCCTTCCGCCTCAGCCTTCCAAGTAGCTGGAACTACAGCGTGCGCTACCATGCCCAGCTTATTTTTTGGTTTATTGTAGAAACGAGGTGTCACCAAGTTGCCCAGGCTGGGTGGCAGTGAGACTCCAACTCAAAAAAAAAAAGCTAATAGAAATCAGCCATTAAAATTTAGCTCAAGCAACCCTCAAAAGAAAAACAACAGATTCCATACATGGTATCAACACGCAGACTTTCATCTGCCTCCACCAGCGCTTTCTTCGAAACGTCCTCTTCTTTCTTGTTATCCCCTGCTATGATGCTGGTCGTTGTCACTGTCACCCATGCATGAACCACAGAAGCATCTTTCTAACTTCTCTGATGCTAGTCTCTTGCCCCCTCAGTCTGGAGCTTATTCTGTAGTCTCTAGGAATTCACTAAAGATGAGCAGAAGAGTAGCCTGGTGAAAGAGGTGTTTCAGGAAGAATTCAAAGTAGCCACAGTCCAACAATGTTACCACCAAATCTCTTAGTTTACACATATAGCCACTTCCCCACTGATACACAAGAATATTCTGCAAAAAACATGTTTTAACAAGACATTGTATCGGAATGGAAAAGTTCACTTCCACGTGTCTTTTTTCTGGTAGTCCTCAGAACAAAGGAATGCCTTCCTACCAACTCTCAAGAACAGAGGCGAGTACCTCCTTCAATCATGAGTCACTTCCTAACTACACTATTCCACATTAATCATTTCCAAAAGTCTACCTATATCATTATTTTTTGACAATGTTACACTATTTCATACCATTATAGTTATGTTTTTATGTGACCTTTTTCCATAACCAGATTATAAATGTATGAAAAGTAGCTAATGTTTTGACTATTCCTTATTCCCAGGAAACCTAAAGAACAGTAGCATACACGTGAAGTAAATCTCTGCTTCATAAACTCATTTGGTCATAAAAATCACCTAGCTGCCGGGCTCGGTGGCTCAGCCTGTAATCCCGCGCCTTTGGGAGGCTGAAGTGAGTGGATTGCCTGAGCCCGCGGGTTCGAGAC